CAGCCCATGTGGAATGGAGGATGTTGATGAAGCGACAGTCCTGGAAGCAGAATCGCTCTTGCGGGCTCAGATGGCTGGGACCCCACAGTTGAGGGTCTGGGGTCTTGGGTTTGGGGTCTTGGTGCTTTTGGGGGTTTGGTTTCGATTAACAGTAAGGTCAGTGTATTTCTGACGGTGTTGTACTGCTTTGCATACATGAGTTCCAGCTGTGTGGCACATTGGTTGTGAAGCCGTGCTGCTAAAGGAGTTTTGCAACGGGAATCCAGGTGGGAGCTGGGTGATTGATGTCCGTCAAGAATTGTAGCTGGAAAGCTGGTGAATGCCCTCAGGCTCCATAGAAACCCAAATGCCCTGAAACAGTCCTCAGCAGACTTAGTCGTAGTCCGAGTCATAGTCAGCCTGTAAAGATCATGCGCGGACTTGAATCACGCGATTCAAGCTTTGGGTGCAACGCCTGAGCTGCCAGGCTACCATCCAGGAAGAGCACAAGGAACTGACAAAGGAGTGGGTTTGCTGACGGGTCTGGGGTTTTGGACAGGCCGGCAAGTTCAGCAAAGCAACTTGTCAATGTGAACCAGATGGATACGGCTTGAATGGCAACTTTCCTAAGCTAGGATCTGTTGCCACCTGAGATATTCAGGAAATTGGAAGTGAATTATCATGAACTATCCATCTGCACTATATGCAAAGTGCCATGGGTGGTGGTAGAGTATCGTTGACCCCCTCCAGGCACTGTCCATGGAAGCTGTAACATATCTGTGTTTACATCCCCACAGCCGCAGGAAGTCAACGAAGCTCGCTCGAAAGGCTCCAGCCAAAGCTCTTTGGGCGACCTACCGCGGCTTCTGCCAGGGCCTCGAATGCTTTGGTTCTGATGTGAGGGCAACCACGACGCACTGAAACTCCGCTGGGTAACCCGGCTGCGACTGACCTTCTTCAAGCGCTTCGCTGAAGCAAGTAATTCAGCGCAGGTAGTGACAGGTGTCGTTGCCAACGCTCCAGGACGTACAGTCTAGCTAAGCTCGAATAAGCGTCCTGTACCACAACGCAGTGAGTGCGATGGCACGGTTTTGGGGAGCAGCGCATAGTCAACGACCGTCAAGCTGATAGGCCCTTGAAACGATGCTTAGATTTGCTTCTGAAAAAGTTCTATGCCCTATGCGGAGTTAGCTGCTTTTGGCAATTGTTGCAACCAAGCGTCCAAACCACCTCTTTTGTGGGGCAGAGTCTGGACTTCATGGAAGATCCGTGTGGATGAGATGGGCTTCTCATGTTCCAGTTACTGCTTCGCCAGAGTGACAAGTGTGGTCCATTCAGACCAAACATTGTAAGCATACTCTTCATCCGCCTCCCCCAAATGTTGACACTGTATTTCTGCCTCATCTCCGACTAACCAATGAAAGGCACATGCTGATACGCATTGAAAACAAGGTAGCGTGTTCTTAAGGAACGCGTGCATTTGCCGAATTGAGGGAATTCCTTCTACGTTTCTCAGGACACCACGCACGAAAGTTCGGAGGATTGCTGCTGAAAGCATGCCAGCAGCAAGTCATGGCCGCGGCACTGTGAAAGTAGCAATCCTCGGTATCACTAGGCCCAGATTACGACAGCTCCATGCGAACATCGAAAAGGAGCTCATCAAAGCCCCGCGCTCAGATGCCCGTCGCCGGACCAGCAGGCATTTTTTTCCGTCACACGCTTGATGCAGAGGCTTTGCGCCATTTGCCATGCGACATGATTCGGGAGTAAAAGTCAGGTGCAAGCTTTCCTCCATCGGCACAATGCCCTCGGACTGATGATGCCGTTCTCCTTAATCCTACGCTGTCCTTTCTCTGCTTCTGAGGTTCAAGCCACCTTGACCAAGGCCTGAGCATGGAGCACATGGATGGTTTATCTGAAGACGTGTATGTGCTGAAGGTTCTGTTTGGAGAGGGTGTTCTGAGCAGGGGAGTCAATGTGAACAGGATGAACAAAAGATTCGCCGCGTGACAAGGAGAAGGTGGCAATCCCGACCAGACAGGAAGAAGAGTAAATTCCTCAAATCCCTATATTACCCCGGTGTCCATTTCATTTTCCATTTTCTTTTCCATTTGATTCTCCCTATAGGGAGATAATAGAGTAACCCATTATCCCTACGTAGCCCCTATATAACCCCTATGATATCTAACTGCGGCCAAGGCAAAGACCAAACCACTTAGCCCAGTGTATGGCTCTTCGTATATCTTTCCAACCATGGTAGGATCCTTATCACAGGGCATGCCAAGAAAGGGCTCTTCACCAGGTCTCAGCAGCTGGCGCTTCTGATGTTCTAGCTGTATCCCACCTAGAACACTACGCACCGAGAGTCAAAACACCGATGAGGCACCGCGCATGAGATGCATGAGCTGCATCTATAATTGACGCTTTCAGGCACAAAGACCTGCCGAGTGATGCACAAACGCAGCGTTTGTTTTCAATCACCAAGGACAGTGTGCATTTGCCGTTCTCCTTCCACATGAAGGAATTAAACTTAAACTTAGGGAGCTGCATCCTAAACCCTATATACCCCCATCATAGTAGTCTCCATTGTATTTTCCATCTTCCCAATATAACCCCATTGTCATAATCCCTATATAACCCCAATACACACCCTATAGTCCCTATATAACCCCAGTATACTATATAGTAATATCCCCAAACCCTAAACCCTACACAACCCCATTATAGTAGTTTCCATTTTATTTTCCATTATCCCAAATGTAACCCCAAACCTGACCGCCCTCCCTCCTCCAGGTGAAAAAAGCAGCAGAGCAAGCCAGGGAACGAGTTGGCCCCTCAAAGCCGGGCTTTAGGGGGTTTAGGGGTTTTAGGG